TTTTTTTGTTTTGTGGGGGGGGGGGGGGGGGAATCATTTAGGTTGCCTCCTAGGTCTGTTTGCTATAGATTTTGGTTATACTAAAACATTTCTCACTTAAAGAAAATTTTGTGGTTTGGTTTAGTTGGAAAATGGGCTGGACCAAGAATTCACTAATAAACATGGATCTGATCACATGAGAAGTTTAAGATATTCTCATCAAACAAACATTGCCCTTGTAGGTGGGGTCGATATCGGTCCTTATTCTCCATCAGTACCTTTACCTTCCACCCTTACAGATGAAATATCTTGTCTATAAATGTTGATAGTCATCAGAGTTGATGACTAGCACACGTCTGAGGTGTGAGCAAGAATGACTGGAGAGAGGCTAACCAGAAAGCATTTTCTGTGCTGCTGCATTTGACTTCATCTCTGCCTTTATCGATTTGTGTTAACTCTTCAATGTTTTAAAAGCAAAGCAACAACCAGACAAATGTAACGCGTATTTAGCCATTAGCGTGGGCAGACAAGAGAGAGGAACTTTTTCCCTGTTCCCTTCAGACAAATGGCTGAAGCCCTGAAGCATGAGGTTTGTTTATAGTAATTTTCTTAATGCAGAGCTGTGAGTGGCAGGAGCTGGTTGATGAACCAACCCACCCAGTTCTCCTCATAGCCCAAGAAAGTAGGCAGGTGAACAAAGAACTTGGAGATTCACAGGCTTCAAGGTCAGAAAGGTCGTTGCCATTATACTGTGTAATGTCCTACTCTCAGTTTCTGCTAGAAACATGATTGAATCATGACTTTAAAAAATAAATAAATCTAATCTCATCTTAAAGACTTCAAGCAATGGTGAGTCAACCACCTACCCTGATAAGATGTTCTAGTGATTAATTTTCCTCACAGCTCAGAAATTGCTTCCTGCAGTGAAGCTTTAGTTCTGTTTAGCACTTGTATTTATGGAGCTGAAATGCTTAGGTTTCGCAGACTAATACTGTATCACTAAGATGGTTCTGCTTTGTTTGAAATTGTGGTAGATCAAAGTTTTTCGTCCAAAAGGGATGCATAGCTCAAAGGGTTGGGACATAAAGTCTATCAGCGTTAGGTCATCAATGTGGCCTATCAGATGGAAGGTCAGGCCAGTGCCATGCCCGTAGTTCTTAAGTTAGCAGGAGACAAGAAAATAGAAAGGAGGCTCCAGAGCATTCAGAAATTTTGCCAGTGTTGTTTATATAAGTGGTAGCATGATCAAAGATGGAATAATCATGCATGATGCAAGCTGGAAGATAAAGACCAATCAACAACCCTAGTCCTACCTTTGGCAGGTAATGTTTAATTACAAGCTGTCCCTGATTGATCTTCTAATTGCATTGAGTCTATGTCACTGAAGGTCATCTCTGAAGAGGTGTTCAGCCTTGGCGTTCTTGTCGTGCAGAAGAAACATGTGTTGGGCTGAACTCCTCCTCAGCAATTTAAGCATGCTGTGCCCCATGTCACCATTTGGGAGGCATGGCCACATCTAATTATATACCTACCAAGAAAAACATAAACCCAGCAGTTCTGGAGCACAACTGCATTTTATGGTTGGGTAAAATCAAAGAGGTGGGCTGCCCTCATCTTCCTAGGTTTGTTCTAGCCCAAGGTACTCCCAGGGGAAGATGGTCTCTGGAGTCACAGTGGATGAGGTTTTTTGATACGGCAGTGCAGGCTGGGAGTTTTGTACTAATTTTGCCTATGTCAGAGCTAAGTACCCATCTAGTTGAGCTGTCAGCTAGTGCCTTTCAGTAACTCAGTGCTCATGTGGAAAGAATGAATTAAATGTGGGAGGAAAAAAAAGGAGTCTTTCAGCTTTGGTTAACTGTCTCAACCAATATCTCTGCCTTTGTTCTTTATTTGTTTAGTATAGTAGCACGGATTGTACAAGATTCATATGGCACATTGATCAAAAAATCAGAAAAAGGACAAATGGGCAGAGACATTGACTCAGATTTGCTTTAAGTATCTTCTGCCTGAGGTCTAAATGCCATTGTAATTGTAGCATACCAGATAGCTGTCAGCTAATCATTTTTATTAGTTTGAATTTAGAAAATTGGATTTCAGCATATTAGAAGTTGGTTAAGAGCAGATAGGTTTTGAATTGAAGAATCTAATTAACCTTGCTAGAAAACTGCAAGGCGTTATATTAAGTCATGAAAATAATTTGTTGGAATAATTACATTTCCACTGTCAGGCTGGAGAAAGGTCATCTTACTTGGCCCACCAGCACTCTGGGATCTTTTCTGTAACCATCTTCCTTCCTTAATTTCACTTGGCATATCTCTGGTTTTCAGTCAAACCATCTTGATTCTGAAGTCAACCTAGGCACAGTTGAGGTTCCTGGGGAAGGAAGAGGAGTAGGAGCCACTGAAGTTGTCTCTTTGCCCTGGAAATGCCAGCTGGTACTGCAGGCAGATCAAGTGAACTGGGGTTAAACCATGACACCAAGTGAACTGAGTTCAGGAGCAGGCCAGCCAGCACCTCCATCAAGTCTGCGCTCACTGCACCTCCCTCCAGCTTCCCTGGGCGGAAATTACTGATGGTGGTTTCAGAGTCAGGGAACTCTTCTATCCAGTGATTGTCCATGCAAGCGCACACAGCTGGCAGCATGGCATGCTTCACACTGCATTCCCAGGGAGCCTGGGTGCATGGTAAGAGCAGGAGCAGCATGCTGGAGACACACTTTGGAGCAGCAAGATCACAGTTTGCAGATGTTTGTTGCTTGGACTTACCACAGCAGCATGATCCAGTCACTGGGAAATCCTGTAGGGGCCATTGGCAAGGCAGTGCTTAAGCATGGAAATATCAATAAATATTATAAGAAGAGTAATAATAATGATGATGACAACAAAAAACAAACAAACAAACAAAAACCCAAAAACCCACTGTGAATGTTTAGGAGTTAAACATACCTGTATGAATTAGTTAAAAGTTACTAGAGTCAGGCAATATTACCAAGCTAAGTCTAAGCACCCTCATCTTTGGTGTATGTCCCCTCCTACTCTCCTATAGGGTATGGAGTGACTTATGGAGTGGCTTCTCCTGGGAAGTCCTTTGTAGGTCAGCAAAATGAAGTCTCTGAAGTCTAAGCTACTCTTCCTTCTTTACTGCTGATTCAATTGCTGATCTGTGGTACTTGGCTGGGCTTAATCAAATCCCTTTTTATTAGAAAGGATTCCCAAATGTGTTATGCACTGTGCAGTTGGGATGGTTTCTCTCTGTCGTGGCCCTCCTTGTTGATAAATGTGCTATTGTAGATAGCCATGTCTGATTTGTCAAAAACAAACAAACAAACAAACAAAAAAAGAATACTTTGTGGAGTGGAAATTGGGTAAGGATGGGGGAGGAGAAATGAGTATTTACAGGAGATTAGGACGAAACTTTCAAAATTGTTGGCCACCATGGGAAATTAAAGCCCTTGATTTTTCATTTTAAAAAAAAAAAAAAACAAACACAAGCAAAGAAAAACCAACAAAAAACACACACCAAAAAAAAAAACCAAACCACCAAAAACCCCCACAAAAACACACATGCAAAGATCACAACAGTTCATTCTGGACCACTGTTTCAAGTCTCATAGAAAGAAATTACTTCTGGCAGCTTATCAGTCTCTATCACCATGCAGACAGTGCTGATTAAGATTGGAAAAGTGCCTTTGGGGCCCTTCATCTCCTGTTGCCTTCTGGACTATGTCCCAGCTGAGTCACTCCCCACAGCACAGGAGTTTCCCTGGCTGGTGGGGAGAAACTTTTGCTGCTATTTTACCATAAGTACTGAAAGCTACCAAAGGAATCACCAGTTTCTTTCACAGCTGTTTGATAGTGTAACAGTCTCCTTTTGTAGTTCCAGTATGCTGTAGGGGAATGCGCATGGGGAGAAGAGAGGTACTAAGATGGTCCTGTTGAAAATACTCAGCTTGTGTGATAAAGAAACCTTGATTTGTCTCAGAGCTGATAATTCAGGAAATACAGTTTTCTTATGTGTATTTGCTATATGCCCTGACTTGGGCAATGAGAGAGGCAGTGCAGAATTAGGCTGAGGAGCAAGGCCAACAAGGTGGGTGTTTGACTTCCTTTTCTGCTTCTCATCCTGACCTCTTGTGATACCTGTGGCAGATCATTTTACC